TGATCTACTCTGTGTGACCCTTGACTGGTCCTAGCTATATTCTCCTTTAAAAAATCAAGGCCGCAGGGGTGGCGTTGAAAAATCAAGGCTTGAAGTGGGTTCGAACCGCGGACCGGCAAAAAAGCACGTACGAGACAGAAGCGACGGAGCAACCACTACACCACAGGAATCATTATTGGGTATAGCAAAAATGTTTATACCCTCGGTCCCTGCGGATTGAAGATTTTGACTAAACCATGTAAAGAAAAGGATTGCACATATTGAGATTCGAACTTGTGAACTCCGACCTGAGTCGAAAATCGAAGTGCGAACTTCTCGCGCTTCGTAACCAGGGAGGTTGGTGGAGGTTATCAGGTTAGACAAACACTCCACAAAAAAAAAAAAAAAAAAAAAAAAAAAAAAAAAAAGGTTATATGTATGGTACCCCCATTGGGAGGCTACCGAAGCAGCACCAGAACCACCATCATCAAAGTATGAAAGAGTGGATTTTGGCTTGGTGTGTCCCCTCGGTGGATCTACGCTAGACGGGGCTCGTCTGCATAGACAGCGGGCCCCAAAGTTGATTCGAGACCTCGAGGGCGCCGTCATGCAGTGTCGTGCACGCCCAGTGACCACTGCAGGGAGCCACCAGATAGGTGCCTGAGTACATCGGCGGCAGGCCTAGGCCGCCGCTAGGTATGTGTGCATTCACAAGTAGTAGCGCTTGAGTACATACAGAGGTTGGGAGCGAGGTGGGGTGGGGAGGGGGATTTTGCGTCGCGGCGTGCCAGCGCATCGCACAAACCCTTGCCCTACCTGTTATCATCATTCACATCAGCCGAATCAGGATAAGATTCCCATCCATAAAACTATCAAGAGCAGTCGACTGCAGTCGACCGCAGGCTAGGGCTGGCCCGTTCTTCTTGCCATCTTCTCAGATCTCGCAGTAATATGGGCGGAGAAATGAGGAGAAAGATTTTAATTTAAATGATCCCTTTCAAGAGTGTGGCGTAGTGGCACGTGATCTGGAGACATCTGCGATGAACGTCGCCTCTCTGCTGCAGGACTCGCCGTCCGACCGCCGCCCGCCAAAGCAGGACCCCCGCGCCTGGCCCACCCAGAAACAACTCCCGCCCCCCCAGCCCCACCAGCAGCTCGCCTGGCCGCCCCCGCCCCCGCCGCCCGCCTACCCCCCCGCCCCCTACCGCGAACAGTACCCCCGCCCGCCCCCACCCCCGCAGCCCGCGAATCCGCCCTACCGCACCCAGCCTGGCCCGCCCCTCTATCCCTCACCGCCGCCGGGCCCTGGCCCCGGCCCGGCCCCAAGCGCCTATTCGGAGCCGTCTCCGATGTACGCCCCCATGGGCGCCCTCCGCCAGCCCCCGCCTCCGCCCCCGCCACGCGAAATCCACGCGCGTGACCGCGAGAGGGACCGCGAGCGCGAGCGCGACCCTCGCGATCGCGAGCGTGATAGGGAACGTGAACGAGACCGCGAGCGCGAGCAGTACCCTGCGCACAGCACACACCCCTCCATTGCGTGGCAGCAGCAGCAGCAACAACAACAACAGCAGCAGCAGCAGCAGCAGCAGCAGCCACCCCCGCAGCAGCAGCAAGGCGGCCCCGGGCAGCGCACCTTCCAAGGCCAGTTCCACACGTCCTTTGTCCCCGGCCCGGTCGGCGTCGGTCCCCCGCGTGAGCCATCCCCGCCCCTCCTCCCGCCCGCGCGCAAGTCTGCGCAAGGCAACAAGCCACGTCCGTACCCCGACGCGCCGTGGGGCCCCGACGCCGCGGGTGACTGGGACATGAACATGGGTGGCATGCCCCCAAACGCGCACGTGCACGCGCACGCCCCGCCCACCTCCGCCGCGCGCGATGCGCCACCGCTTCCGCCGCCCCCCGCGCCCGAGCGCGTGTTCCGCGCGCGGCGCACCATCTCGATCGGCACATTCGTCTTCCCGCGCACGCCCTTCCCGTACGTCTTCCCGCCGCTCTCCGCGCAGGCGCCGGCCCGGGAGACGGAGCGCGAGCGCGAGGACGGCGAGGTCGCCGCGGAGCCGGACGCGGACGCAGACGCGGACGAGGCGCTCTTAGCGCTCGAGACGCGTGCGGTGCTGCTGTTCCCCGCCGCGCACCTCCCGGCCGCGCCGCCGGGGCGCCCGCGCGTGTGGGGCGGGGGTCTCCCAGGGCCCGCGCGCAGGGAGCACGCGCGGCACCCGAGCGGGCAGATGCCGGTGCCGATGCAGCACGAGCGCCACCCGAGCGACCCCGCGCGCCCGGTGCACCACGCCTCGCCGAACGCAAAAGCGCACGCTACCCGGAGCTGCGACCCCGAGCCGCGCCGGGTGTACACGGACGACTCGGACGTGCTGGCCGCGGCGGTGCACGCGGGGCGCGTGCGCTGGAGCGCCCTCGCGCGCGCAAGACGCGAGGGGCGGGACGTCCGGGTGGAGATGCGCATTGTGCGGGTTGTGGGCGCGGCGGGCACGGAGGGGGTGGGCGGTGTGGCGCGGCGTGCGAGCCGTGGGGCGAGAGAGAGGGAGGGCGCGAAGGAGAACGAGAGCGACGCAAAGTCGAAAGAGAAGGAGAAGGAGAAAGAGAAAGAGGGAAAGGACGCGCCGATGCCCACGACCGAGGCGGTGGGGCGCTTCTTGGGTGGGTGGGGTGCACGGTGCTGGGTGGGGTGGGGGGCGTTGAGCGGGGACGCGGACGTGGACGCGGACGTGGGTGATACCGCGCGAGATCGCGAACGCGAGCGTGAAGACCGCGACAAGGACAAAGACACAGAACGCGATGGGAGAGCGAAAGAGGAGAAGGACCAGGAAAAGGAAAAAGACAGGGAGCGCGAGACGGACCGGGACGACCCCGCGGACGACGGGCGCGGCGTCCTTAGCGCGGGGTGGGGCGCGGGGCATGCGGGGAGCGCGTTCGAGGTGCTGGGCGTGTGGGTCGAGGGGGTGCGTCTCATCTTCCTTCCCTCCATCTCTTTTTTGGTTTTATTTCCACTCTGTCCTACGTGGTGCTAATGTATCAACGGACAGAAGAACGCCGCGCACGCCCGGACGCGCGCGAACCGCGCGCAGCGCCTCGCGGAGTACGCGGCTCGGCGCGTGGGGCTGGGGATGGCGTCCGCTGACGCGTCATCTGCGGTGGCGCTTGCGGGGCGGAAGCGCCGGGTGCGCGAGTGGGAGCGGGAGGCGGGGCCGCCGGTGAGCGCGCGGAATGGGAGCGTGCTGCGGGGCATTGTGGAGGTGGAGGAGGGGGGTGGGGATGGGGATGGGGATGTGGAGATGGGGGAGGCGGCGCGGAAGGGCACGAATGGGAAAGTGGGGCTGCGACGCAAGGGGGCGGACGGCGAGGCGGCGGAGGTGGTGTGTGTGTTTGGCATCGGGGTCGGGTGCGTTTTCTGTTGTTTTCGTCGAATTGGGAATCCGTGCTGATCGCGGGATGGGGCGTAGGTTCCGGTATGCGCCCGCGGCGCTGTGGGGGGCGCTGTTCCCCGCGGAGGATGTGGACGACGACGGCAGCACCGATGGGCAGGGCGGGCGGGCGCGCAAGCGGCAGCGCGTCAGCGCGCCTGAGGTGACCGCGTGGGAGGAGGAGTGGAAGACGCTCGATCTGCTCCCGGACGACATTCCGCGGGGGCGGGGGTTGAAGCAACACTACGAGCGGCAGAAGAGCAAGGCGGTGGAGGCGCCGCATATACACCTGCCGGATGGGACGTCGGACTGCGATCATTATGCGTATGTCAGGAAGAAGCCGGGGCAGGATGCGAAGGAAGGGGAGGGGGCGGTGGCCGGGGCGGAGGGGAAGGGGAAGGAGAAGGAGAAGGGGAAGGTGGAGGAGAAAGTGGAGGGGGATGGGCGGCGGCTGCGCCGCGCGGTGCAGCTCCTCGCGCCGTCTGGGGGGCAGGCGCGCGCTGCGTACGTGCTCGAGCCTGCTCAAGACGAGCGGTGGGACGTCGTGCGTGTCGAGCACGGGGTAAAGAGGGTGCTCTATCGCGCGCTGGGGCGAGACGAGGTGGAGGTTGGCGCGGGCGGGGTGCGCTTCCACGCGGTGGCCGGCGAGTATGGTGGCGCGGTGGAGGCAGCCGGGGCAGGCGAGAAGGCGGCGTCGACGCCCAAGGCGGGCTCGGTGGAGGAGGGCGAGGTCGTCGAGGGGGACGCGAAAATCGGGGATGGGGATGCTACGCCGACGCCTGGAACGCCTCTCGCTGGGAAAGTCGTAGACAGGGTGGGCGTTGGCGAGGGGGAGGGGCAGCCGGCGGGTGAGTGGGGTCCGTGGTTCGAGGTTGCGCTTTGGCGCTATGGGGTCTAGGTCTAGACGGCTGGTTCTGTGCTCGATATCTGTTTTGTTTGGGACCGTTGCTGTGTGTGTTATAGATCTATGTCTTTCGCCTCTCCAAGCCTGCCTGGGGGCATATACTGGGTACCGGGAGCGCTTTGCCGCTGCAAGGGCGAAAGAGTCGCGTACTCAGCTACTCATGATTGCTATTAGTAGCCACACTGCGATTGGAAGATGCCGATGATCGGCTTGGCGGTCAAAGCGTGATATCGCGTACCGATCAGCACGTACCGATCAGCATGCTTCTCGATTATCGAGACCTCAGCCCCTCGCGGGACGGTCAATTTTGCGGTCGTACGTCCCCCTCCTCCAGATTATCTCAAGTTCGCATTGGACCTTGGTCGTTTTCGGTTTACCGAGTTGATGGGGCCGACAGCCTAGTAGGCATCTGGCCGAAATGAACAATGGACGACTTACGTTGTACCTCAGTCAGTTATCTGACGCAGGCGGTTTTTACATAGTAACAATGGTAACAAAAACATTCCCAAAAGAATCGTTTATGCCTGCCTACTGGAAAGTCACCCAATCAATCTTCATATCTTTTGCACAGAAGTAGACAGAAGTCTGTCGATCTTTTTCGGCTGTTCCTTTCTTTCTGACAGTAGAATACTGTTAATCTAACCGCAACCGCAAAACACTGTAGATTAGTTTGTAAAAGTACAGGTGAAAAAGAAATAGGTCGACGCCGGCAGGATTTGAACCTGCGCCCGGAAACCGGAACAGATGACTCAGATGTGTATTGTGGAATTCTAATCTGTCGCCTTAACCACTCGGCCACAGCGCCCATGCATGTGATCGTGATCCTGAAGGCTAGGATGGTCTAGTATATTATTATATAGGTTGAGAAAACGCGCAAGCTCTCCGCTTTTGACTGAACCCCCTGACAGGACTTACAACGCAGTTGGCCTTATGTATGGTAACGTTCACGAGTCCCTGTAAGAAGGAGAGTTCCACCCGTGATGGATTGATCTCCCACCATCACCCCAACCCGTTTAGATTTCCCATGTCAATGCAGTCTCATACTCTCTCTCCATCGCAGTTGCTATACGAGCGATTGGGTGCATGCGCGAGGCGCTCGCGCTCGCGATAGTGTCCACAAATAATTAATTGAGCATGATAAATACGACTAATAATACCCAGCGGATAACACCGCCGTCCATATACAAGTACTTGACACAACGCCGGGGTCAGGCGCTAAAACGCCCCGACACAACCGGTGAGCTCGCCAGGGCAGCTTAGAGCTTCGCCTGGGGCTTGAGGTACGAGCCCCCGCGCGAGAGCATCGCGGCCGCGTCCTTGACCATGTTGTCAACGATCACCTTCGCGGGGAGCACGTCGTTGATCAACTAGCGACGAGGGGATCAGCTAGAGCACATGAGGCGGGAAGACGAGGCGCGACGCACCGACGAGACGCGGCCCATGAGCCACGGGCGGGTCTCAGGCGAGATCTCGGGGTGCTTCTCGAGCTCAGACTCGTGCGGGAGGATGCCCTTGGACGTGAGCTCCTTGATCTCCGCCGCGCGGTTGTTGTTCCTGCACGCGCGTCAGCGGCGAGCCGGCGCAGACAGAAGCGGCGCATACCAGTTGTCGATGTAATCCGTCCGCCGGACGCGCAGCGGGCGCCCGGTGAAGATGAGCGTCGTGACGGCGTCCTCAAAGCCCGCGCTGACGATGAGGTCCTTGTGTTTCTGCGGCGCGCTCGCCTCCTCGGCCGCGACGAAGCGCGTGCCGACCCACACGGCCTCCGCACCCCACATGAGGTTCGCGGCGAGGCCCCGCCCATCGTACACCGCGCCCGCGCCGATGACGTACACGGGCTTGCCCGTGAGCGGGGACTTGTGCCCCTTGACGGCGTCGACGCACGCGGGGATGAGGATGCTCGCGGGGATGTCGCCCGTGTGCCCACCGCCCTCGCCTGCCTGCGCGCAGATGAGGTCCACTCCCGCGGCGAGCGCCTTAGGGACATGCTTCGGGTGCCCCACCATGTTCATGATCTGCGGGCGCGGGATGAGTGCGGCGGCACGCGAGCGAATAAGACGGAACGCACGGGGATGCCGGCCTGGTGCAGGCGGTCGACGGCGTGCTTCGGCGGGACGCCGATGGCGCAGACGAAGAGCGCCGTCTTCTCCTCGATGATGACCTCGATGAGCTCAGCGAGCTTGCCCTTCGTGTAGTCGTACTGTCCGTACATAAACACTCAATGCCACAAACGTAACTGAGGGGCTCACGTTTGTCTTGCGCGCACCCCCGCCGACCTGGGGGATGAGGAGATCGACACCGAAGGGCAGCGACTTGTCAGTGAGGCCGTCCTTGACAGCCTGGATCTATAAGTGCGGGGTGAGTAGCCGGTCGGTCGCCGAGCCCGCCCAGATGCGTACCTGCTGGCGCAGAATCTTCGGCGTGTAACCCAGCCCGCCAATAACGCCCAGACCACCTGCACAGACGCGTTCAGGGACAGTTCAACCGGTTGAGAAAAAAAGCACACCTGCGTTGCTGACCGCAGCGGCAAGCTCGGGGCCGGCGGCGATGTTCATGCCCGCGAGCATGACGGGGTGCTTGATGCCAAAGAGCTCGGTGATGGGGGTGGAGATGACGGACATGGTGGCGGAGGGGAAAAGGTAGAGCGAGCGCGGCGGGATCTGGGCTTATAAGTATGCGGGGTCGGTGGGTTTCAGCTGATTGTGCATTGCCGGTCCGGGTCCGATCGTCCGCGACTCCGCGTCAAATGGCACTCGGTATTCCGCTACCCGGTTCGCATTCATCTCCAGAAATTTCCGTCGTGTTGCAGGAATACATATACAATGCAAAGTACTAGAAAGCCATACGCTAGGCCGCGACGGGTATACGCATGTGCGGGAACAGGGTCTCAGGGCGGCGCATCAGGCTCCGACTCCTCGCTCGGCAGTGCCCTCGCGTTCTGCATGAGCCGTCTCAGCCGCGCTAGCTCAGCCGAAAGTTGTCTGGCGCGAACAAGTCAGAAGTCAGCACGAAAGAAACCGAGCAAAAACGCGCCTGGCAGTGTCCGCGCTCTCCTCGCTCTCGCGGTTGCTCTGCTCCACCGCCTCCTTCATCCGCGCGATCTCCTCCCGCCAGGCCTCCTCTACCGCCCGCGCCGCCGCGCTATCCTCCTCGCGCGCGCGCTTGACCTCCGCGCGGCCCTCGCCAGCCGACTTGATCTCCTCAACCAGCCGTTTGTACTTCTTCCCCACACCCTCCGCCTCGCCGCGCCACCGCTCCTCGCGCTTCGTCGTCTCCGCGCGCAGGCGCTCCGCGTCGCCCTTGAACCCCTCGACGAGCCCCTTGATGCTGTCCCTCAGCGTGAGGTACTCGCGCTCCGACTTTTGCGAGAGCGCGCTCGACTCCGCGAGCGCCGCCTCCATCTCGCGGATCGCTTTTTTCGACGTGCCCGTCTCCGTCTTGAGCTGCGTCTTGAGCGCCGCGGCCTCCGCCTCGGCCTTGCGCGCGCGCTCGAGCACCTGCCGACGCGTGAGCGTGAGCACCACCATGCGGCCGCACGCACCTCCTGCAGCAGCCGCTCCTTGCGCGCGACCACATTGTTGAGCCCCTCGTTCTCGAGCCTGAGGCGCTCGCGGCCCTCCTTGAGGTCCTCCGTCTGGCGCGTGAGCTGCGCGACGCTGCGCTGCGACAGGCGCAGCTGCGCCTTGGTGTTCTCGAGCGCGTTGCGCGCGTTGACGACGCCCGTCTGCAGGTCCGCGAGCACCTTGGTCGTGCCGCCCGGCGTGAGCGAGATGCGGCGGTTCGGCGACGGCGACGGCGGCTGCAGCGAGCCGGGCGACAGCGCGTCGACGTCGATCGAGAGCTTGGACGAGCTGGACACGCGGTGCGTCGCCGGCTGGCCCTCGTCCGCGAGCGCACGCGCGTTGCCTAGATGCATGTTAGCGGCGGTGGGGCGGGGCGGGGCGGGGCTAGCACGCGCCTACGGACGAGACGGGGATGCCTGCACGCTAGGGCGTGAGTCGGTGCGAGATAGAAACGAGCGGGACGCACGGCTGAGGGTGCGCGTGGGGCTGTCCCCGCGCCTGTAAGAGGAGGGCGGCGACACGGCGCCGCCGCTGAAGCTCGACGGGATGCCTTCGCGAAAGTCCTCGAGCGCGGGCGTGTCTCTCTCGCGGCGGGGCAGCGGGAGGTTCGAGTCGGGGGCGATGCCGTGCAGGACGTCGTAGCTCGAGCGGCGGGTCATCTTCAGTGCGGCCATGGGGCTCCCGTTCGCGGTTGGCGGCGAGGGGTCTGATATCTCGGACGGGTAGGGTCTGCGGAGGAGGTAAACGCGACTCTCCGAAAAGAAAAATTTCGGGACATGCCTCGGTCCACTCAGCAGCATCTTTTCAAGGTTTTGGAGTTGGCCTTGCTGGTGGCGGATGGTGTGCTTGAGGGTGGAGACCTGCGTGCCGGTGAGCATTAGCTTCAAGTATATACTATGACAAACCTGGTGTCGTACAGCGACTGTTAATGTAAGCAAGAGTCGCTCAGAGCACATAAAGACGCACCTGGGTCGTCTGCAGTGAGAGAGGGGGTCCGTGCACGTCCACTCGAGCGGACGGAGCTGCGGGACGACGGTCGGTCAAATCGGGGCGACGTGAGACCGCGTATTGGAGATGAAGAATTATTTGCAGCTGAAGCCATCCACTGGCAAAGAGAAAAGGTAAAAGAGCGACGAGGGAGGTAGAGACAGAAGGAAGGGCGGGGCGGGGCGGAGACCGCTTGCTTGACCTAGGTTCGGAGCAAGCCTGTCTCCGGGCCGGCGAGCCGGCCATTCTCGGAGAGAGGCTTGGGACAAACTAAGGGAAACAGTGAGGACCTTCAAAGTTAGATTTTGACACCATCTCGTTTCCTCTTCAAAACTCTGAGGGAGAGATTTGTTTAATGAATGCTTGAAAGCTGTCTGGCACTTCCCAAATAATTTTGCAGACCATAGATGTGTCTGTGTTGGAATAATTTCGGCGCTCTCGTTTTATTCCGAGAACGGTAAATCTGAGCTTTTTGGGTCACAAATCTGGAGATATTATGGACTCTATATACTCAGACGACTATTTAACTAAAATTTCTCGCCTCAAACTCTTCTCTAGGACATCGAGACGCGTCAGAAATCTGGTCGATATGTTCACTGATTAATGATGTGATGTCACACCGTGACAGGACGCGATCGATTACTTACCGCCAACGCGTCTTCTCCCTCGCCCGCATGGACTCCTTCCAGTTCAGCGACACATACTGGCAGGAAAACCTTCGGAGAGGAGCGCGAGCGAGAAAAAAAAAGTGGTTGATCATTCCCAAAGGGGAAAGAGGATTGCCGGCTTCGCGCAAGTCAGTTCTCGTCTCCGTAAAGCACCAGCTGGATGAATTCAGGGCACTATACTCTGTAAGCCGTACTTGAGATCTTTATTGGAAGACTTGGCCAACTCAGATAGTCAATTTTTGAAGAAATAAAAGTGAGATGAGAGATGTAAGGTCAGTGAAGAGTGCTGGCTTTGCGAGGGTTCGGCGCTTTCCATAGTGCGCCTTTTATAAATCTGAGGCGGGGAAAATCTAAGTTACTTAAAAATGAAGAAGTCATTACAAGACTCCGGCGCGATTGACACGCTTTTGAATGTGCTAGGGCGCGACGAAGGTCCTGCCCAATTCCCTTATCTTGGCTCAAGCCTCTTTCGATGTTTGCCAACAAACTCAGCCCGCATCAACAAACATCGGAACGGCAGGCTTGATCCGAACCTATGCTTGACCGTGGCCGACAAGTGGCCGAACAAACAACCCCAAGCGCGGTGA